AGTTACTCAAACAAAGTATGAAAAATATATATGACCATCAGTGTTATCAGTAGTGTAGTGAGTGTGTGTGTGGATATGGGCAGAGTGTCGTGTATGTAAAGGTAAAGGGACTTAGCAAACCCAAAACACCAACAAACCTAGAACCTGCTGGCTCGAAGGAGCGAGAGAGAAAACTGAAATATAGACAGTGACATGCTGTTAAACAGTATATGTAAAGTCAAATTTAGCCCCAGCTTTAACCTGTATGTCTAGACAACTTTTGATATAGTTTTCTTTTTAGCTAAATGATTACCTGAATTTGTTCACTGTTTTTACTAATAAGATAGAAGGAGGAGATAAAAGTTATACAAGTTTTTAAGTCTGAACTTAACAAATGAGAGTTCTTTACCAACTTGGGATCAGATCCAAAATGAAACGAGGTATCAAAACACAGCTCAACACATTCCCAGTAATAACTCCCATGATGCACAGCTTCCTGTGCTTTCCTGTGATTAGGATGTATCAACTGTTGTGATACATCCTAATCTTATTCATATTTCTACACTCTGAAGAAAAAACATTTAAAAATGGTAAAGCAGTGAAACTGTTGTATAAAAGCCATAATTGCCTTTAGGACATTGTTTACTGTGATTATGCATCTTCAGAGCAGTGGGCGGTACTCAGCTGTGCCTCACATCACAGGACCACTGTATCTATAATCACAGAAAATAATGTTGACTTGAGCGTTATTGCTAAACTGTATATGTGTAGGTTGTTGGGAATCTGTAGAGGAATCTATAAAGGGCATTATGGCATTTGCGGAAAGTGGCTGATTGCTGAAGAGGCAGAAACGTGGTACTCGTAGCCTGAACATGCTCTTTCTATCAGAGGCTCTCACTGGAGTTGATGGCTGGTTCCTGCTGCAGGCCACTACAGACACATGGTACACAACACAGATGGTGAAATAAGGCACCAACGGCTGCAGTCAAAACACTGAATGTGTCATAATGACATTTGTGCCATAAGTTATGATTTTTTGCAGGCATCAAAGCTGTCACTCTACATAAGACACACTTAGTGGTAATGAACAGTAGTGGGTCTACAGGCACACAGAGGCAGATACAGCCTCTTCATACATCACCACATTAATATTTGTTGATTTAGAAATGCAGAGTCGTGAATGACACAGAGCAGGATTCGCTGAATAATCCCCTTTCTGGTGCACAAAGGCATAACTTAAGCTGCTACAGTGAATACTAAGTCTCTACAGCCTGGCATGCATTGGACTCTTTCACACCCGAGCAGTTCAACTCGTTCAGATTGGCCTGTCTCTTGACTCGACACAAACACATGTTTTTTGGAGGTACTACTGGAAAGATACAGAGCGCTATCTATCAAAATGGAGCCGGCTGGAAGTCAGTCTAATCTCAAGCTGCATCCCATTCGCTTATTTATGTCACACAGACTCATACTGTACATATACATACAGAAATGGACACAAACTGTCTGTATTAGTGAAGATAAAAGGCACAGGTCTGGAGGGACTGTGCTGTTTTTCACTTTATCCAGACAGAACCTCAACCATAATTTATCGCCACTCCCAACACCAATCCTCATATCACACCGAGAAGTATGCAGAAGGCCAACACGACAATATAAATTGATGAAACGACAAAACAGTGCCTCCATATAGTAAAGCATAGCCCTCAAAAACACTGACTGCCCCCATCAATCGCCAATAGCATAAGTGCAATGGAGAAGATAGTAATTTGAAAATGAATCTACATTTTTGCTGACGACAGGTTGAATCCAGAGGCTTTCAAAAATGTCCATTAATCTTCCCCAGTTCATCATTTCAGCAAAGAAAGATCTGTTGTAGTTTAACAAACACCATCATTATACGAAGAGGGGGTTTAGGCTAGTCAGAAGGCTACTCAGTCATTTACTAAATAAAAGGGAGAAGCTACACCCACTGTGCAGAATATCTTGGTCCTAACATCTGAGATGTCGGAACTAGATAATATTTGCTATTTTGCTTGATAAATGACTTGCTTATTTTCTGTCTATTAATCATTTATCGACTAATTTATTTCAGCACTAAATTAATCTTGTCTTCAGTTAATTTCAGTACCATCACAGCCTGACACAGAACATACTGGAACTCAAGTACAACAAGCTTTTCTTTGTCTTGAAAGTGTCACACTGAAACTGAGACTTGGCTGCAGCACCACTGAACTGTGTTTTTGTGGCTGACCCATAACCCGAGGAGTTTAAGAAATTAATTATGAATCCCAGTTTGACAGAGAAAGGTCATTTGACATCTGAAAAAGGGACAGAAACATGCAGTTAATTCCACACAGGTGTGCAGCTGGTCCTTAAAATTACTCAGTGATTAACATCCCACCATGCTTAGTGTTGTGTGTAAAAACCCTGGGCAGACCCAGTTGCTCATTATTTTGCTTCCTGTGGCTCAAAGAAGACATTTGTGACTTTTAGAGAGGACTGATGGTTGGAGTATATATTTGCTGGAGCTTTTGTGATGTTCATTGTTTGATATTATGATGTTTGATGAATGGAAAATGAGGCTAAGGCAGTGATGACATGAAAATATGTTGAAACGACATAACCACCTGGAAAGAACAGGTGCATATAGTCCCCGGCTGTGATGTTTGTGCATTATTTCCAGATGTAAGTCAAAAATAGACAAAGCACTATAAATCACCTCACCAAAAATGTCTATTTAAGTGTAAGAAGGCAGCTTGTCAAATGAAATTTAGGACGCAATATTACAGTGGAATTGCAACGCGTAATGCCCTTATTATGCGTAAATTACCTCTTTTACGCAGCAGGTTGTGCAACAACAAAAGCAACGGTTTACTGAGGAGGAAAAAACCTGGATGGTTAGATGAGTCATCGTTCACCCTGTTCTGAACCAGTGGTTGACTACATGTGTGTCAGGCATGAAAAGAAATCTATTCACCCAAGTGCTTATTTCCCACAGTGAAGGCTTCTGTCAGAGCTGTTCTGGTGAGTGGTACTGGCATGGTTTACATCCATTCTGTCCCTTAGCAGGCAGGTAAATGCCAAAACCAACAGCGGCTGTCAGGGTGATCACATATCTTATGCTCTGGTGTTTCTGTCCTGAAGACTGAGGAATATTACAAGGTGACAAATCAACAGGCCATAACAGGACCCTGTGTTGTTTGATAAGCAAGGAAATCAAGTTTACCAGCCTGGCAGTAATGGTCACTAGTTCTCAACCAAGCAGACTACTACAGTTATTTTAGAAACACTTCTGACCACCTTTAAAGTTCAAATGGTCTTGTGAAAAACAGTCATATTTCTCCAGTTGAGTTTTCAGAATCCCAAAGCTCAGTGTAGCAGCTCAGGTGGCTCATGGTGACCCAATGCCCTATTGAGACACTTATTGGTGTGTGGCCTTAATTTTAGCACTCACCAGCCGATTACAGTGCACTGAAATAATCCAGCCCTGCACTGACTGTACTGCCAATTTAAAATGAAACTATAAATCTAACTGCAGCTGAAAATAAACTGTGAAGCAATTAGTTGGAGGATGCAATATTGCACTACAAACTATATCATATGCTGGTAACTGGATTTAAGACACTTTCATACCTCAAATTACCATTTTTCTCTGAGTTTTCACACATTTAATCAACCCACTGAGACTAAGGAATAAATGGTCTAATGTGCAAAAGGGACTAACCTTCCTACAATTAACAGAACCCTTTGCTTGAATGTCAATGCAGTAGTTAGAAATTCATCATATAATCATCAAACTCACAACTCAATTAAGCAGGCTATGGGGGGATATTAAGGTTAGGCAATGCTTATATGCAAATATTGTGGTAACCAACCCTAAAAGATCTTAAGCACTCCGACTGTGTCCTTCATTTTACAGGCAGGTTGTAAATCCGGCAGATGTGAATATGAAAGCGTACACTTGAGGACAAACCGGTTCAGGTTTAAGTGGAATGCTTTTGGCTGCAGCAGCACCAGCAATTTCAGATGTGATGTCTGTTCCAAATGCAGCTCCCTCTACCCATTTCAGCCAACACGCAAGTATTTTCAGCATCAGGGCATTTCAGCACCTCCCACTGATGGACAGCTCCTATTCACATTTAAAGAAAAAAGGCTGCATTGCCAAAGCAACAACTCTAGGACTTGGCAGTTTAATTTTTCAAATTCACCCCATACTTCTGGTTAACCTGCTCAGGCTTTGGTGCTGTGGTAGGGAGTAATGACAACCGCATTTGTGTATATCACCCATGGGTGGCTTTGCTGGGGTTTTAGCAGACATACTGGGTCAACACGCAGAGGCACAGAGAGTGAGAGAGAGAGAGAGAGAGAGAGAGAGAGAGAGAGAGGGGGAAAACGTGTATGAGGTGTGTGCATGAGCAAGTGCTGTAAAATAAAGCTCGACCTCAGGCTTTTGCTTTGCCACATTCCAACTCAAAGCGCCCTTCCTGTGGCTCAGCCTGCCCACCTGGCCAATCCGGCGCTCTTTTTACTGCAAACGTGTATGCTGAGAATACCTGAACTGAATTTGAATTACCATATGACGTAGGCCTTTTTCTAGCAGCAATGTCCTGCTGGCAACAGGGACTACCACAGACCATACAGTCTCTACCAAGCGCTCAAACACACAATTTGTTGCACCAGCTACCCCCCACACCTCCTCAACCCCCTTTCTGTTCCCATCTATCTTTATCCCTATCCATATCTCTCTCTAGCTATATCTCACACACACATTCAGAAACACACAAAGGCGCTCACACACGAAATGGGATGCGACAGCTATCCACCTACAGAGGTGGAAAAGGCACATATCAGAAAATTAAAAAAAAAAAAAAAAAAAAAGTATCTTTCTTTACATTGAAGTCTGTGAGCCAACCACAAATCACGGTTAAACGGCGATGAATAATCGGTCTACATGGAAATGTATAAGAGCAAATGACGCCGAATAGGTTCAATTGGACTGAGTTCAATAAAATACTTACGCATTTTCTCGAATAAATGAAACCGGGGTTGAGAGCAGTGAAGGAAAAATCAGCAGGGCCCCGGTCCCCGTTTTCAAGATTTGCAGTACGACCGAGGCACAAATCTCCATGTGAAAGGGATTGGAGGGTGCTGCAGTCCGCGTCTCTCTCGATCACAAGTCAAGATGCTCGCCTGCGAAAAATGCCAAACATTCAGAAAGAGTTGCGCGGATCTGCGGCGCGGCCACCATTCCCTCGGATGTAATGAGCGCCGATGAAACCCCTCAGAGGAGCAGCAGTGTAACCCCCTGGACTTGAAGATATTCCTCTGGACTGAGGAGGAGGAAATCCTGCAGAGTTTTTGATGGGGGGATCAAGTCTGTATAGGCCCTTCTTTCCCCCAAAGCAGTCACAGTCCAGAATTGACTCCCACCGGTGGTTTCCTCTTGGAGAAAAGAAAAATCGCAAAATCAAATTCGACCAAAAACACAAAACCAAAGTGGACTAATTCTTTTGGATTCAGCAGTCAGGGTGTTTTTTTCGCGTGGGTCATTTTCTTAAAACAAATGAACAAGCTCAGACGGACGGACATCACAATTAACAATTACCTATTTAAAGCATTGTTGATAAGGTCAGTGCAGAAAGGGGTGCAGAAGCGTCCTACAAAAAACCCTGAGAACGCCTATTGGATAAAATTAAGGATATCCGTCCCACTGCAACCATCACACGCGTCGCATCAGGACAAATGGGTTGCCATAGGCTGCTCTAAAAATCGCAGAGCATATGGCATACAGTATTTTCTATCAAGTAGAACCGCAAGAATCCACAGGATGCTATTTTCTTCCCCCAAAGCAATCCGGTGTATTGATTACATAAGCGCAGCTATTAGTAATAATTCCGCTTGTCACGGAGAGTGTGTCCGATCCGGGTGGTGTGGCAGCAGCAGCATCATCCGTGTGTTGCAAATAAAGCGCTTTTTTTTTTTTTTACCACCGGCTCCTAATGGTTCCCTCGCTCGCTGCAGTCCATGACTTGAATAGCGAGCACGCTGAAATCACGGTCTCCAGGCACAGATCTACGGCGCGCGTGTATGCGAATCACGCGTGTTGTGTAGGTAGGTGCGCGCGTGTGTGTAGGCGTGAGCGTGTTCCTGTATTGCCCAGGGACCACTTTAACTTTGACCACTTTGCCTGCGCGTCCATCTGCCCATTTAAATCACCCAGCGGTCGTTAATTATCAGGGATCAATAGCATTAACGCATAAAGCCCAGATCTGATGTGTCTGAGCGCGTGTTTGTGTGTGTGTGTGTGTGCGTGTGTGCGAGCGCGTGCGTGCATGATTCAATTGTTGATGAGGTATGGTTGCCACCTACAGGCGTTAGTCTCTATCCAGTCATCCAAAACCGACCATTTCCACAGTCTGCAGCCACAAATAAATTCACATTCAACATGTAGAGGTCTCATCAGTTCCCCTCCACAGTAAAACGTTTTATGCGCATGTGTCCGCCATGTTAAAGTCAGCAATAAGAAATTGTGATTCATGCTTTGGACTTACTCGAACCTCACATTATTTTCCCACCTGCTATTTGAAATGCATGTTTATGTGCAACCGATTTATTCCTTTTACAAATGCTGCCAGTAGCAGATAAAAGTAACCTAGGCAACCTCTGAATGACTGAAACCTGTTCACTGATTGCCTTCACTAGCAATGGTCATATAAAGGGGAAACTTCAGGTTGGTACTACGAAGTTTAGTGACTTGAAGACCTTCAGATAGACAAGTGAGTGTGCATTCATTGGATCTGAGATGGACAGCGTGTCTCATTAGATGACATAATGGACCGCAAGTCTGCTACGTGACAGAGTGGCTCCTGGTCACTGACGCCGCACTGCTTTATGAGATTGAGGAGGACAGAGAGAGAACAAGGATGAATATAAATCAGTCATAATGGCATTGTATTAGATGTGTTTTTGATCACACAAAAAAAAAAAAAAAAAAAACAATTGAGAGCCTATTAAGTACCTTAAGTAAGTGATTACAGATGGGTGATAGGAAAATGAACGTGAACCTGAATAGATTATTGGAGAAACATGAGCAGATGCTTCCATACTGGGCAGGAGGGGTCGTTGAATGCTTTGACATGATGTGTATCATATGCTGTGACCTTTACAGTTGCCAGATCCCAACCCAGTTGATTAACTACGGGAGACTTTGGAGTGATATATTAGACAGTGTCTCCCACTACCATCACCAATCACCAAATAAAGGAATTGAAACCGCAGCTATTATTCTCATTGTCTTCTAAACAAAATAGAGAAGAATTTCACAATTAAGTCGATGTCATCAAATGCTTGTTTTGTCTGGCCAACATTCCAGAACCCAACTGGATCCAGAAAACCAGTGTGACCAGTATTATCTTGGCACTTTGGCAATACTCATGCCACACTGTAATGAAGAAACAGATAACCCAAAGTATTTTGACCTTATGGTAGCGGCAAGATGGTTGGTCAGGAGACCAAGACATTTCAGAAAGAGCGTAAATGCCGGCCCCAAATTGGATGGCAATCCATCCCACAGTTGCTGAGATGTTTCACTCAAATCCACAAATGTCAGATGGTACCAGGGAACCAGCAGTAGGTGCGAAGATCTGTCTGCACCAAAATGTTTCCTAATCCATCTAATAGTTGTTGAGATATTTCAGTATGGACCACGGTGGTAGATCTATCTGTCTGTCTGTCTGTCTGTCTGTCTGTCTATCTATCTATCTATCTATCTATCTATCTATCTATCAATCTATCAATCTATCATATCAACACACATGAGTCTGTGATTTGTAATGTAAACCAAGAGAGTAATCGTTAATGATACAAAGTTTGAAGCTATTATGCAATGTCTTTATTCACTGTATAAAGAACTTTTAACTGAGTTGAAGAAGTGTGTGTAGGAGGATAATAAGAAGAAATAAAGCCTTAAAAGTTAGATATCTGACCTAATCAAAGTCAGAGTCTCAACCTTAACACTTAAGCTCGACTCTGTGCTTGTGCTTCTATTTCTTATTGTTAAAACTCTACCTCTAAATCTCCTTTTTAAAAGTAACAACATCAATAAACAGTAAAAAAAACAACAAAAAAAAACAACACACACTATCATGAACTGACTTGCCATGACATCGCAAAATGAGTAATAAGACCCAATGAACCAATGTCAGATTTTGTATTAGCCACCAAATTAAGACCTCTTTTTGCTCAGTTAACATTCATACCATATTGGACTGAAAACAGTTCCTACACTCCCATAAAACATTTGAGTGCTTTTTCCACATCTGTGAAAGTCTGAACTTTCCTCCTCATGCATAACTAAAAGGGTAGCTTGTCAAAACACAAGCCAATTTCACATAGATTAAATATAATCCTGGTCTAAGAAGCTCATCAGTGAAAATCTTAACTGAGAGAATGTTCATTGCTTTGGATGAAGTCAGATCCAGGTGCATAAAACTGGACCTTTGTGGGTTTCACATTACTTATACTGGGGCATAATTGGACTTCAATATACATTTTCATATGCTGCACTAATATTAATGCAGTAACAGTTACATAACTGTAAGACACTTTCACAGTCTTCCCTACAAACACTAGATATGCATTTGATATATTTTCTGTTATCAGCATTTTATTCACGCTTTGATGAAATATGAATTAATTCCTGGAGATCTCCTGAGCAGAAAAATTAAAAATAAAAGCCCATGGAACAAGGGGAGGGTTGCACAGCCTGTGTTGCTGTAAATGAAAGCCTCAGCAGATCTGCACAATCAAATCAATGTCAGCCACATGCTGCTATAACAATGTACTCCCTCATTACAATGTTTTTCATACAAGGACAATATAAATATACTGTATGTCCTATTTAGCCCCATTGAATCTATACAACAGCAATAATCAGTGTCAGAGCCATAACACAAATGACTTCTGGGCGGTAAATCAACACAAGCTTCAAACCTATTTGACAGCTTGACAGCTTCTATTACTTCTATTTTCGGTGCAAAAAAGCAAAGTTGGAAATGATTTGTACCAGGCTTCTATTCCTATGCATTTTTATAAAGGATTATATTAGCTGTGCTTGCTTGAAAGTTGTATAATTAGCTAAGTCTTGATGCAAGTTTTTGAATCAAGAAAGACATTTACTTTCAACCTTTATTCAGATGGGCAAATGAGCATAGAACAGCTTAAATACTGGATAAAAAAAAATGTCAACCTATGTTTACCTTCGCTTTGGTCTTCTAAATGCAAAGGCACATAGATAGATTTTGACTTGCAACTATTCTTAACAAAGGGCACTTGCATGATTAGCAAAGCCACAATGCGCATCGCTTTTTATCATCTTGATTGAACTTCAAATCGTTTTCAAATAACTGCTTGAGATGTGAAAAAATGAGGAAAAATAATTGGAAATTTAACTGCTTTATGCTTCGTTCAATCTTTTGGGAAAAAAATATTCTTCCCACTGACTTATTTAAACATTCTGGCTTTAAAGTCTGTCAAACAAATTGAAGGACACAGATGGGAGAAGTGATGTGAAAGTGTTTAACAAATTATGGGCAGAGATGGCTTTAGTTGATTCTTTTTATCCCTCATTTTGGTCCGTAGCCATTTTTCTGTCAAAATAGATTTAGCCTCTTTATTCATTTCTCTCTGTGAGATATCTCTTTTCCTTCTTCCTTCTTTCTATCTTCTTCCATCAGCCTATTGGGATTGTTGGATTGGCTGCTGTGGTAGCGCATGTCCCAGACTGCTTTCTGGGACAAACTTCAAGAAGCCGAGCTGGAGAAAAAAAAGATGGAAGGGAAAATATGGTGGAGAGATAGAGGGAGAAAGAGAGAGAGGATCCTCTAGCACTACGGAGCCTCTTCAATTATTCAAATGGCCGCTGTCCCTCTGCACTTGTTCTCTCTGCTTGGTTTGAATATTAAAATGGCCGCCCCCAAAGAGACAGAAATCCAGAAGATGAAGCCCACGCAGAGAGCAAAGGCTGAGTGTACTTGACTCCTTGCATCCCCACCACAGCAGTCGATGAACAGGAGACTATCTATGCAACTGACTGCTTGACTTTGAAGAGGGAAGTATTCCTGTCACGTTTGGCCTAAATTCCATGAAAGACAGGCTGAGGGACTGCGTTATTAGCATCAAGTGAGCATGCTACCTGTATCCCAACAGACAGGAAATGCCTTCTCTTCTCTGAAGTGCACAGCAAAGTAACCGAGGGCTTGATCCTTTCTTTGGGGGCTCAGCATGGTTACCGTAGTCTGATGAGAATTAGTGACATGATCATGAACTTGTTTACAGTTTGGTAGTTGCTGTCTTGAGATATAACGAATTGAACCCAGACAGTCAGGCTTCAGCTGAAGGAGGCAGGTTTTAGAGTGGTTTGCACTTTAATGGTGGGGGTAGGGCAGTGGAAGAAGTTTTCAGATCTTTTACTTAAGTAAAGTACCCATACAACAATGTAAAAAATATTCTGTAATAAAGCAGCAATAAAAATCCTGCATTCAAAATATTAAAGGTCCACTATATAACATATAGAAGATCTATTAGCAGAAATGTGATACAGTATTCATGTTTTCATTAGTGTATAATCACCTGGAAATAATAATTGTGTTTTCGTTACCTTAGAATTGAGCCATTTAAAATTTTTATTTTTGGCTTTTATTGCTTTTGATTGATAGTGACAGCTGAAGAGAGAGAGAGAGGGGATGACACGCAGCAAGGGGCCACAGAACTGTTCACAAACAGAAACTAATACTCATTCAAACACCAATGCCAAACATTAGGCGCAATTTGGGCTTCGGTATCTTGCTGAAGGACACTTCAACATGTAGTGGGAGAAGCCAGGGATCGAACCGCCAATCTTCTCCCACTCTACCTCCTGAGCCACAGCCGCAGGGCCGTTTTGTGTTGTTGAGTTTTACTGCCACTGTAGTTTCTCCTTTGTGCTGGAAAGGAGAGGTTGAGGGCGAGTTATAACGATATCTGTCAAATAAATGTAGTGAACTAAAAAGCACAATTTACCTCTAAACTGTAGTTGAGTAGAAGTATAATTTAGGGAAAAAAAGAACAGTTTATATCTTGCCTCTACCTGCCATAGTGGCAAAGTGACCTTGAGCTGTCACTCACTACAGATACAATGGACCCCAGATGTACAAAATTAATGTTAAAGAGTAATGGAATGGATTACATGAAACTATGCAATTGAGAGACACAAAAGAGTGACCACTGAAACCAAAGTGTATTAGTAATTAGCTGTTGGACTGCAACAAGAAACCAAAACAGTTTGAGTGCAACTTGACATAGATAAGTATCTGGAACTGAACACCATTTGTCAAGAA